TCCTCTAAAACATGCAGGATAGCGGCCCTCGAGGACTGGAGTTTGACACCCCTGATCTAAAGTCATACAGTGAGTAATCGGGGAGGTCTGATTTTGATCTGCAGTTTGTATTTTAAAGTCTCTCGAAGGAAAAAAAACAGTATTTATACAACATACTGCACTGGGGTGTTGGGTAACAGACCAAAACAAAGTTGCACATGTGGCAAAAACTGTTTGTTTTTCTAAATCTTTCAAACATTAAAAGGTGATCAGAGCAACCGTCTGCCTTCACCTTGTGTTTGATTTCACCCAGCCGGTCTGGGAGCCTCAGTTTGTTACAGAACATTTGTGTTGAAACCTGACCAAGAAACACAGCAAACAAATCAAGAATAAACTGCAGAGTTAGGTTTTACAACAATATTCCAAACCTTGTATGGAGCCACTATTTAACTCATCAGATGAAAGCAGACAGGTTACAACACAAATCTGTCAAAACATGTCCRTCCACCTAAACTGACAGAGCGAGCAAGAAGAGAAGTCATCCAAGGAGCAGAGAACCACAGTTGGACACCAACATGTGGAAGAAGCTGCTCTGATCAGATCAGACCTTAATGTGAAACATTGAGTTTGTCAGAAAAGCAGCACTGTGGATACTGAACACACCATCCTGACTGTGGAACACGGTGGTGGCAGCGTCATGATGTGGGGATGGTTTTCTTCAGCAGGAGCAGGGAAGMTGCTCAGAGCTGACGTGAAGATGGATGGAGGTAAATCCAGAACAATCCTGGAAGAAAGACTTGAACACTGGAACAGCAGAACAACGACCCATCTCATCCGGACAGATCTACAACACAGTGACTCAGATCAAACCATACTTGTTAGCGCCACGTTAGAATGGTCCAGTCAGAGTCCAGAGCCAAACCCAGCAGACTGACTGAGCTGCAGATGTTTTACAAAGAACAACAAAGTCGTCAACCTGTTGAGATGATTCCACAAAGTGTTGACTCTGGGAGGCTGAATGGAAATGCACACAACACTTTTTACATTATAAGTAAGTTTGTTTGGCAGTGGTGGGCAGCGCTAATCCAAAAATTAGCTCCACAACTTCTAAAACGCTTATGAAAATATTTAGGTTTGTGACTTCAAAAGTGCTCATGCCATAGAAAAAGTAGCAGAAGCTAATTTTAAAGTGCAAGTTCAATTTGACACATTCTAGCTGGCAATAATTCATGTACAATTTTAGCACAACACTGTCAACTAKTGGTGAATGAACCCTTTTACAGCTTAATTCTACAACCGCCTATTGCTGGGGATGTGATTTCATGAAACAGACCTTTGGCTCCAGGTGTAAAAATTAAAACGTTATTGAGGATTGCTAGTTCGGCTGCTTCTTTGTCTTTTTTACTTTTGTTTGTTGTAGATTTTTCATTAAAGCAGCTTCAGTAAAGTAATTTTAAAAGTGTTTCTTGGAAAACTGAAGCGATGCATTCTGGGTTCTTGAAAGATTTGATTAGTGACGGGAAATGAAAGCACGGAGTACAGGAAACTATCTTCACTTCAAAATAAGAGCATGGGTTTTAATGTTTTCCATACTTTTGTTGTTGCTCTAGTTGACCACTAGGTTTCCGTCTTCATCAGCATAACATCTTTAAACAATTTCTGCGTCCCTTCCTTCAGCTAACCCCGTTGGCCGATTGCTTCAACGAATTACGTCAAGTATTGAGCTCCAGCGTTTAAAGCAGGGGTGGGCAATCCTGGTCCTCGAGGGCCGCAACCCTACAGRTTTTATGTTTTCCCTGCTCCAACACACCTGATTCAGACATTAAATTACCTCTTCCAAGTTCTGCAGTGTGGAGGACCAAAACTGACATAACTAGAAAAAAAGCAGAAATATATAAATGGACCAATAAATAAATTCAATTAAAAAAGCACTAATTAAATTAAAAAAGGAGAGCTTTACCTCACATTTTATAATTTAACTGGCCATATTTATTTTTCCAACTTAGTTCCAACAACTAATATAGTTTTGCACATAATTTACATTTTACTGTTATACAC